CTTTGTCAGTATATATAAAATATACAAAAATGTCGTTTATAATTATAGATACTTGATATTGATATATTATATCTAATTATTACACCTTTCAACCATGCATGTATTTACACTTATTCTTTATGTTTTTAATTTTCGCTCGTCGATATTCATTGTACTATTTTATTTGCTTCAGAATAATAGTACTTATTTAAGTAAAAATCATATTTATTAAAAAAATAATAAATACAATGTGTAGTTTATTATTACTTCCCCTAGCCTTTTGTTAATATTAAAAAAAAGTATTATATAATTCAATTCTTCTTATGTCAATATAAGTAACGTTTCATAATTTGCATTTTAAATAGCTAAATTTCATTTGAGACAGAACGCGTATTTGATATCTTATAAAAATTATTTTATAATAACAAATTATCATAAGAAATATTTATTATGAGCTATGGAAGGAAGGAAACATAAAAGAAAAAATTAAAAAAATAGAGATGATACGAAACGTGAAATTACTATTGTGCCCTAATGACTTGTTCTTATTCGTGAGTTATTTTGTCAGTATATAAAACACATAAAGAATGTGTTATAACTATTTGTATTTTATATATCGATATATCCTCTTAATTATTCTGCCTTTCAATTTACTTAGTTGCGTGTGAATTCAATATACCAATCATGCTTTTACTCTTAAGATAATCTCTGATATTTTATTACGTAATTGACAAAATTATTTCTTCTTTTATATTTTTATAATAAATTGGTAGTAGGAATTTCTTTTAAACCAAAACCAAAAAAAAAACAAAAAAAAAGAGGAATTTAGGTTTAAAAAAAATTAATGATCACCATTTGAGTGAAAAATATTTTGATTTTATGAACTATATTCGAATCTTTTGATACCGATCGAAAGTGGACTTATTTTATCATCTTTTGTAAAGAAATGAAAAAAGAATCAAATATATCTCTATTTATATAGAGTAATTTTATCTTTTACTTTAGAAAGTTTTAGACTAATAACTCTATTGCTAAATCATTTCAAACAATTCAAATATGCAATTATTGACTAACAACCCCAATTACCTTTTGGACATTTTATTCTACTTTTCGAAAAAATACAACTAAATCAACGTTTAATTTCTCAATTTACTTTATTTGTTCATCTAAACTGGTTGATATATTGGAATAATTTCTTGTCACGATTCAAAAATAGACGTGATGGAATTCCTTTTTTTTTCCACCAAAATGAGCCAGCCTAATACTCAATCATCCCAATAAAGTGTAGAAAATAAACTATAATTAAGAGTCTCATACTTTATATTAATGCGGATATTCATAACACTTAAATGTTCCCCAAGACCTAGTTGTCACGCGTACAAGCCTTTAAAATATTGTAATTAAAGCTAAAGAAAATTACAAGTCTCATATGGCGTTGTTTCTAGAATAGAACAAGATCATAAACAAGAGTAAGAAGGTCTGCTGAGATGACAAACAACTACCTCATAAATCTACAAGAAGCCTCAGAAAAGAAGAGAATATATCACAAAGTTCGAGACTAGTAACCTACAAAAAATTGTAGAAGCAAGGGGTGAGTACCAAACCACACGGCACTCAGCAAGTAAACTCCTAAACACAAGCTAAGAAAATAAAATACGGGTACTCCTTACTACCCTAACCAAACCTCCACAACTACAACTTGCATAAAAATCAACCCAACCTAACAATTCACAATTTACAAAGTATATAGCTCAACAACAACACTCTTAACAATTTCATATCCTGAACAACAATACTCTAACAATTTCATATCCTTAACGACACTCTTACAATTGCATATCTTCAAGAATAACACTCAAACAGTTTCATATCCTCCATAACAACACTCTAACAATTGCATATTTTCAACAACAGGCTCAATATTCATCACTCACAAGTTCCACAGAAAGGCACTCACAAGATCAACAACACACAAGATCAAGTTCACCAATAATAAAGAAGTGCAATGCAATGTTAAGTATAGTGATGCATGTTTGACCAAATGATACACATCCGCTGTTTCTCAGTCCGGGACCCATGGGGAACACATCTGTCCATGCATGTATCGCGGTGTGTGATACGATCCTCAATAATAGTGACCATCACGGCGCACCATATGTCACTCGAAATATAGTATCCATCGCAACGCGAAATATGACCTTCAAAATGGTACATCCTCTTTAATTTTTTATTCTTTTGCATCTCACATAACACTTATCACAACTATGTCTTAGAACATTGCAAATGACATGTTCACATAAATGAGGAGAGTGACCATTTTCATAACATTACACAATTCATGAAAACACAAATATGATATCCAATCAACAATGATTCAACAAGCCTTCAAACCTTTTCTCAACACATCACACATAAACAATTAATCACAATGCCTTTTGTTACCATTTTTTCATCATTAGAATTAATCAATGTCGACAAGTCAACTCATCACCAAGTCTCATTAGTCCTAAACATATACCACAAGGAAAAACACATATTTCATACACTTAACATAGGTTGAGAAATCCACTTGCCTCAAACAAACGAACAATCACTCCTAGACTTGAGTTTTCCCCTTTCGTTGAGCTTCATAACCAATGCAATCTACTCAAGTACATAGTCGCAATAAAATTTTGACACTAACAACACTCATGTTATATAGGTTTAGCTTAGACCCAAAAGCTTACCCAAATTTATAATTAAGTTTCTAAGTCTGGATGACCATTAACTTGTCAATTCTCATATTTTTCAAATTTCAAGTCTACATAATTAAATTATAATTTCTTCAAACACTACAACCCTAATAACTTTGTTATAATATAGTACACTCGATATTAAATTACATATATTAGTATATCAAACTTGAATCTTAATATGAAAACTATAAGAAAAATTCAAAAATCAATTACATAGAGATTTCCAGAACCCTCGAACTAAGCCAAAACCATTTGCACCCACAATCTCCCTTGAATTCACTTATTCACTTATTACCATATTATATTCTTGATGAGACAAACATTAGTTACCATTGCCTCATCATTGGCCACATACAATTTGATTGCTTCAACTTTCAGCCATTAATCACAATCCACCTAATCAATTCATATAATATTAATGCTAATGGTATCACCAATCAACAACAAATTTGGGTAAACAACATTAAAAAAATTGATATAACCTATATTGTCGTGATTAACTTAGTGATGCAGCACAACCGCTCCTCCTTTTTTTTCTTCTTTTTTTGAAAGTGTTAAACTCCACTAACCTTCTTTTGACACATGGCCCTTAGGGTATTAATTTAATATTTGGACTTTGGCCTATTAAACCTCAACTAAATAAATAATTATTTTTTTAATATATACTCATCAATCAAATAAAGATGGTTATTGAATAGTTTAAAATTCTCAAATCAACTTTATTGATTGATCATAAAATTACTCGGGACAAATATCAAGAGAGTAATACTATAACTTTACGAAAATTATCAAAATTAACATCACGAGTCATTACATTTATGAATGATGAATACATCAAATGACATCGATTTTCTTCATGGATACACGTTTGACAATTTGTAGATAAGGAATAAAATGTTCTTTACCTTAAAGTCACTAATTAGGACAAAACTATATAATTTTTATTTGTTTAATACACATAATGTGAAGAAGGACACGAAAAATTGAATTCAAACTTAGTATGTGGGGACATCCACTATCGATTGATACTACTATTTTGTAAATTATGAATTCGAAAAATGAAATGGGAGAACTAATTTTATAGTCATTTATAAATATTTTTTTAGTTTAATTTATGGTTTTTGTAATGGGAGACTAGTAAAAAGATAACATAGAAGATCTTGATTATGGTTAATGAAAAAAAATCTTCTTCACCCCAAAAAAGAAGGCTTAGGAAATTGTTACGCTGGGTTTTTTTATTGTCTTTCAAATAAACTTGTGGATTGAAATGAAGTAAAATTTGTTTAAAGTATTTCCTTTGTTCATTTTTAATTGTCATATTTTGACTTGTCACAGTCATTAAAAAAATAATTATTGATAAAGGTATTTAATCAAACTTTAAAATGATGTCTTGAAAAATCATTTGAAAAAAATATTTAACGCGGAAGGTAAAATACAATAAAAAATATATTTTTTTCATATGTCAAAAATAACAAATAAAAATAAAAAATTATTTTAAAAATAAGTGGCAAGTAAAAATGAACGGAAGAAATAGTTAAAAATTCTAAAAAATTGAAAAACTTCTTTCATTTTAAAAAAGAAAATCAATAAAATTGCCTCAAAATATGGGGAAACCAAAAAAACTTCTTGATTTATTGGTAATTTGACTTCTATATTTTCTAAAAACAAGGCTAGTTATATTTCGTATTTTTATTTCGGTATTTAATATCGATTTGGAGTTGAATCAATAGAAGTTTATACTGAGGAGCTTTTTTTTTAAAAAAATAATGTTCAAATTCAAAATTTTCAATTAAAAATGAATACATATTTATCTTTTCACACGTATAATAATGTTTTTATTTGCTATTGATCTCTCAACCTTCTTAATTTGTTTCAAAGAAAGTATAACATACTGTCACGTTTTATTATTAATTTTTGGGGTGGGGAGAGAGAGGGTGGACTAGCTTGATAATTATAATTCAAATCCTAGCTACCACACATTAATTAGAGATCCAGAGCGATTGATTTTTGAATTTATGAAAACACAATATTATAAGAATAAATTTTATCTGAAAATATACACGTTATCAACAAGAAAAAACAAATACAAACTGACAAAATAACAATAGTGAAGGAATAACGCCTAACAAATACTCTTAATTGAAAAATTATAATTTATATACACGATAATATATTAGTTGTTATCGATAAATAATAAACTTCCAATATCTCTGAAGAAAGACTTCATGAACTTGTTCAATTAAGACAAACAACTAACATCATACGAACAAAGTAATGCAAAATATGTAAAAGGATTTAATAAAGCCACACTAATTTATTCCATTACGTATAGTAAGAGTACATGGAGACATTATAATGAACAAACATGAACCCTACTTATTATTTTTTGACATGTGGCTGCTTAATTACTTCAATAATAATTCATTAATTAACCAACCACTGGAATTGATACAGCAACATTTAAAATGTTTACAACAATACGAACTCGAAAACACCTAAAATCAGCTGTGACTGGAGAACCATTCAATACTATTTGAACATCAGTTACGAATGGATTTTCCTTCTGAATTATTCCCTTAGCATATTGTGCTGGTACACCAATAAGTTCTGGCCAACTTAATTTTCCTACATATACACATAATTGATTAATCTGTAAGTGTTATAATAATAGCATATATCGAGTTGAATCATGATGTTTACTTTTAAAAAAATGAATATAGCGAAAGAGATTTTAAGGTGGAGAATTGAATCGTTATCAATAATGTAATATTTTAGGTAATTAACCAATTGAATTAATAAATTTTTCAAGAATTAAATAATATATATCTTGTTTGGCCAAATATTTAAAAAGTCAATAATGTGTTCTTATTTTTCTTTAAAAAAAAGAGTATATTTTAGAGAATTGAAGTGTTTTATCAAGAATTTAAGAAAAAAAATAAGTGTTTTTAATAGTAGAAAAAACTGCTTTTTGAGAAGTTAAAAAAAGAAAATTCCTTTAAAAGAACTTTACCTTTGCACATCAAGTCGGATTCAAATTCCTTTAGAAGTTCTGTGACTTCTAGTCTATCAATTTCTTTTCGTGCCATGAGAGTTTCAAAGGCTGTAAAAAAAAATATTTCAATAGCAATTAGTATATTTCTTATTTCAAGTTAGATTATCAGAAAATTATGATGCCTAAAAATCTCTGGCACAAGCAAAGCCAACATTTTCACTAAAAATTAAAAGTCAATATATACATTTCATTAAGAGAGTCAACATTTTCATTAAATAATGCAATTTCAACAAGTCACTCTTTCGAACCTACTTTGTCAGTTAGTCACATTATATTTACAAGATCAAACTATTTCTTATGTATATATAATATAAAGTAAATCTTTTGTGAAAGTCCCCTCCCCCTCCTTCCACACTCAAGCCCCATATCGCAAAAGAAAATATAAATTCTTTACAGCTCTAATAATACTATTGATAGATAGATAGATAGATAGGGGGGAACTAACAAGTTGCAAGAAGAAAGAAAACAATAATGTGAGCAAACTTTGACTCCATTTTCTTTTAGTTGTAATGTAAAGAGTAGAAGGAATTGAGTGATTTTTTATGAGTGTATCACATAAATTTATAGGCAGAGGTTGCCTTCATTGAAGTGAGGTACTACATATGAGTGATGCCTAACAACCACACGTTTAATAATTTGAAGATAAAAGAAAAAATAATTATGTTTTGATATTTTTCTTAAATTATATATGAGAAGTGAAGGAGGACAGTGAAAATTGAATTTACGTATAGAGTGTAGGGGACACATCATATACACTGATACCACTAATCGATATATTATGAATTGGATAAGGATGAAACGGGAGATCTGATATTAAAATCGTTTATAATTTTTTTTAATTATTTAGGTTTTTTAATTTAATTTAGAAGAGATTGTTATGAAATAATGTAGAAGATCTATAAATATATAAAATGCATGTTGGATTCAATTTTTTAAGAAAATTTAAATTGTAAGTGAATTTAGGAGATCACTTTCCTCCACAGAAATTGAAAATATAATTCTTTTAATTATTATGTTTTAAAAGGGGAATAATTTTATGAACTTTTGGATTTAAACGAAGGATTGTCCATTTAGAGCAGTTGAAAATTTTAAAAGAGATACTTCTTTCATCAAAAATATCAATAAAATTATCTCAAAATAAAGAGGGAAACAAAACAAATTTAATTAATTTATTGGTAATTTGGCTTCTTTATTTTATCACAAGGCTAGCTTGACTATGTATATGTTTGGGTTATCGGTTGATTAGGGTGTCATGTAGAAGTTTATGATTATAAATTATATGGACGATAAATCAGACGATAAAAACTTATACAAAAAACATAATATATATTATATAAAAAATAATATAAAAGAAAAATATTATAAATTATTGAGAAAATACATCTCTCTATAAACTAAACTTTTAAACGTCTACATTGTATAAGTTTTTGTGTTCTGCTATGAGAATAGAGATATTCAATTTCTAGATCTCCAAACTTTTCCTTTAAGGAAAGAATAAATCAAATCTGAAAAAATATGATATTTTTCTTTCAAGAAAAGTAAAAAACATTTATGATTTAATTTTTCTTTTTGGAAAAAATACACTTCAAATAAGATTACATAAATTAGAGCAAAACTCCAACAATATTCTTCTCAATTGCGTATCATTATTTTTGTTTATGTTTTTTAGTTTCTTATTCAATATTTGATCTCCTCTTTGAAATTCAATTTAATATATAGAGAGAGAAAAACATTTTTATATCCAAGACTCAAATTCAATATTTTTAAAATTTTATATACTTCTTTCTCAATGCCTTTGGCATATATATAAAACACTGCCTTAGCCAAGAAATGAAGGAATAAAATGTTATACAATAATATACAAACACTGCCTTAGCCAAGAAACACTGCCTAGCTATGGATTGTTTTTATTGATGAATTATTTTGTAAGTAAATTGAGACGAATTTAGGAGTTAAATATTATGATTTTAAATTTACGATAATGGATTCAAATAATAATAATATATGAGTTTAAAATTTCAATTTGAACATATATATTTAATGAATTTCAAAATAAATATAAAATTTATGATAAATCCATTGAATTTAATTTTAGGTAAAAATTTGAATAAAATCGGTAAATTATCAAAACGAAATCACGTGTCCATCTGTTAATTTTAAAAAATGATAAGAGATATATAAACCTTAAAGGCTTAAAGTATATCATAGGGCATTAGTATATCATATATGATAGTTTGAAAATATTATTTTTCATTAAACATATAATAAACAAAATCATTCTTATTTTTTTACAACACTGACAATTCTCATTATTTATCAAGTTGATGCTTAAAAATAGAAAAACAAAAGGAGAAAAGAAAGGGCTATTTCATATATATAAAAAAAACTATGGTCCCTAGAAAATGATTTTATTCACTAGTCATTTTGTCAATATATATATATAGAACATACAAAAACATGATTGATAATTATTGGTACTTGATATTGATATATTGTTTCTAATTATTAGACCTTTCAACCATACGTGTATTTACACGTGTTGTTTACGTTTATGATTTTCGCTCGTAGATATTCAATTGTATAATTTTTTTCTTCAAAATAAGTGTACTTATTTACTAAAAATCATGTCTATTAAAAATCTAACAAATATAATGTATAGTTTATTACTTCTCCTAGCCTTTTTATAATGTTAAAAAGATTATTATATAATGCAATTTTTTTCATGTCAGTATAACTAAAATTTCCATGATTTGCATTTCAAATAGCTAAATTTCACTTGAGACGGCGAACGTATTTGATATCTCATAACAATTATTTTATCTAACGATAAATTATCATAAGAAATATTTATAATAATAATTTCACTGCTAATTTTTTTATATTTTTATTGCGATGGAAAGAAGGAAACATAAAGAAAAAACTAAAAAAAAGAGATGATACCAAACGTAAAATTGCTATGGTCCCTTAATGACATGTTCTTATTTATGAGTTTTTTATCAGTATATAGAACACATAAACAATGTGTTATAATTACATGTATTTTTTTATATTGATATATTGCTCCTAATTATTCTGCTTTTTAATTTATTTAGTTGTGTGTGAATCCAATATATCAACCATGCATTTACTCTTTAGATATATATAATATTTTATTATGTAATTGACAAAATTATTTCTTCTTTCATATTTTTTATAATAAATTAGTAAGAGGAATTTCTTTTAAACCAAAAAAAAAAATTGGGTTAAAAAAAGTTATATTTTTTTTATATATACAAGGTCTAGAATAGAGCAAACCCTCAAAAACTTAATGATTACCATTTGAGTGAAAATATTTTGATTTTATGAATTATATTTGAAATTTTTTTGTATCGATTGAAAGTGGAGTTATTTTGTTAACTTTGTAAGGAAATGGAAAAAGGATCAAACATATATCTATTTTACTTAGAGTAATTTTATCTTTCGTTTAAAAAGTTTCGAATCATAATTCTATCGTTAGTCGATTTAAAATATAACTATTGATATCACTTTGGAGTTCAACCAATAGAAATTTATATTGAGGAGTTTTTTTTTTTTAAAAAAATCAATGGTCAAATTCAAAACGCACACGCACACGCACACGCACGCATGCACACATGCATGTATGCTTGCATTCACGCGCGCCACACACACAATATTTTGAGAATAAATCTTATGTAAAAAATATATACACTTTACCAACAAAAAAAATAGAAATACAAACCGACAAAATATCAATAACAAAAAGAAATGGTGAAGGAAATAAATAATCTTAATTGAAAAATTATAATTTATACACAATAAAATATTAATTGCTATTGATAAATAATAAACTTCGAATATCTTTTAAAAAAGACTCATGAGTTTTAGTTGTTTGGTCATGAGATTATAAGACAAACAACTAACATATATGTCAAATCAAAATCATACCCAACAAACTATTTAATTAAGGAGAGGTGTCACGATCCAAATCCGGGCCGCGATTGGCACCCACACTTACCCTCCTATGTGAGCGAACCAACCAATCTAAACCTTAACATTTCAATATAATATCAACAGAAAGTAATGTGGAAGACTTAAACTCATTAATAAAAACCAATTCAATAACTATTATTTCCCAAAATTTGGAAGTCATCACCACAAGAACATCTACTTCAAACTACTAAATCTAAGAGTTTCTAAGAAGCTAAAAATACATAAAAGCTAGTCCATGCCGGAACTTCAA